CAGCGGAGGAGACCACCAGCCAAAGAGCTTTTCCTGCGGACTCGAGGGCTTCCAGTCGCAATTCCCCTAGTTCTAATGAGGAAAAATCTAAGTTGCCATGCATAAAACAGGGTTACGTATTTGACAAAGGCCGTTGATAGGTCAATGGCCTCATGCATCCCAACTCTACATCTTGCTGATTGATCACCACCACATTAGTCTGCTCATCACACGTTCAAAGCAAATTTGTCTTACGTCCTCTCCCGCTCTTCATCTGCATGCTGCAAGTAGATAGTCCCGCTCTGTTCCTTCACAGACTCCTCCAGAGGGGTCAACAAGTCTTCAAGCTCTTTCTGCTGTGACAGAATGAAGTCCAGCTCCTGATCCAGCCTGGAAAGAGAAAACGTTAACTACTCCACTGAGAGGTTATATACATTCTAGATCTGCCATGCCATAACGCAAGAAGGTGCAAACAAGAAACAAAATCATCTCAAGTGTTCATTGTTTCGTACCTCTTCTGATCAAGCTTCACTTTCTCTACTTCTCTGTGTAACGAAGTAATCTGGAAACAGAAGACACTTAATCATACTACGAAAACTCAAAAGTCAACTTATAAAAGAAGAGTGCTGGAACCGAGAAAGCCAGCACCACACAAACGTCTACCAGAAACAAGAAACGGTTACACAAAGATTTACAGACCCAAAATTGCATAATGGACGTTTGGCTTTGAAAGCTCCACCCTAAGGCAACTTGTTACCATAGGACAAACCCACAGAACAGATTCCCAAGCTTCAACCCCTAGAGACCAGAACAGAAATACAGCGAGGCTTTCACAAGCACCCAGGTATAATTCACACCTGGTTTCTTACAAGTAGAACGTCCCACGAGATAGCTTGATGCATCTGTAACGCTGAAGGCCTTTAAGGACCTAAGCAAGCAAAATCAGGTTACGCTGGATGTCACCTTACCTTCTCTCCATTCTCTATCAGTGTCTGATCCCAGGATGTCACCTTACCTTCTCTCCATTCTCTATCAGCATCCGATCCCAAGCATTTACTTGCGTAGCTTGATGGAGAAAGTGTTTCTCTTGGTCTTCCAGTTCCAGACTCCACTTGTTTATCAAACTCTCCAGCTGGGCATAAGTCATCACTGGAGGTGCACTGAGGAGAAGTGCGAGACAGCACAGAGCACAAGATCAAAAACCAAAATACAAACCCGACAACACTCATTTCCCTCCCTCCACCAGACACCAGCAGCAATGCTCCCTCTTGCCCCAATCGGGAAAGGAAAGATTCAGTTACAACAAAATGCTCACCTGGTGGTCGTTGTGGTTATGGCAGCTGTAGAAGTCCCAGCTCCAATGGCACCAGTCGTAGTTAATGGCTTAAGATTCAAAGCAAAGCCAGAAGCAGAAGTAGTGCCTGAAAGAACGGGCTCAAGTCAAGCGACAGAAGAGGACACATCCACTAGCCAACAAATCAAGAACAGGTCCAGTATACGCTCCGGAGCACAGTGCTCTGTAAGCTCAAATAGGTCCCTCCAAAGGGACAAAAAGCAAACCCCACGTCTGTCAAGAAGGGAACAAAGCACACCTTGACACAAAAGCAGCGGACTGTAAAGGCCCAACCAGTAGTTCTGGTAAAATGAGGAACTGGCAGCCTGCACTTAACCGGGGCATTATTCAAAGAAACACAGCATTAGCCCACACACCCCTCTCAATCTCCTCCTGGTTCAGTATCAGACCTAATAACTACCAGCACACCCAGTTCCTCTCCTGCATCTTGGCAGGAGATGAGATTTCTCGGTTCTCACAAAGCTAGGAGCATCTATCAGGTGGCACTGTCAGCCAGTCACACGGCACTTCTAGGCACTGAGCTCCAATTCCTCCCAGGCACTCCAGAAGCAAGCTTCAGAAAGACCTCTAGAGCTGAGCAGCATCCACGTTACTACACTGAAAACTGACTGGTAACTGCATCCAGAAAAGGACGTTCAGTCCTGAAGCCCAACACTGTGCAGCAGCAAATTCCACTGCAGGTTTTCACATGAGGGTCGCTACTTCAATACAGCACTTATCTCTGCCTTTTTTTTTTTTTTTGTAGAAAAGTTACTGAAATCATACCCTTTGAAACATGTAATAGGGAAGCAGCAGATGAATGGGGCAGAACTGAAACACAAAACCTCTCTCCATAACACTCCCCACAAGCCTTTGGCCTCTCCCTTCCCCCATCGGGACATCTCTCCCTCACCTCCTCAAGCAATTCTGCACCTTCACAGGCAGGCTGGAGAAGGAGCAGCTGATCTCTCTATTTTTCTTGCTCCAGACTAGAACACCACAGCCTACGGACCTTCCTTCACCCAAAGCCCCTTTGCTGTGGACACGCTCTCAAAAGTCATAAGTAACCGTGCATTTGGCGAGATGGACAGGGAGGATCGGAGAAAGAAATACTGTGTTATTTTCCGTTACTGGAGGGCATTGGAAATTAGCACTGCTCTGCCCCTACACTGGCGTGGCCCTTTACGCTACTACAGAGCGCTGGAGTCAGGCTTCCATCCCTTCAGCTGCTTTCAGCATCTAGTTCTTACTGGTGGCAGCGCTCGTTGCGGCAGCTGTTGTTCCAGGAACCTTCAATCCAAACCCAAGCGTCCCAAGACTGGCTGTCCCAGCGGAAGGGGCACCGACTGTAAACAGAAGACAACGTTAAGAGTTTGCGCAACCCATTAAAGACATCGGCCCTTTGAAAAGCCCTACCCTGCCTGCTCACCAGACTCCTCCTGGTCTTTGTTTGTATTGACCAGGATCACTGTTGCGCTGAAGGATCATCCAGACACGACATGAAAAAAGGCAGGCTGAAGCTATACATTAGCCAGCATGCTCTGCGATTCTTCCAGGAAACTTTACCAACCCAGGTGCCAAGCTACCGTCACTTCTCCTTACCTGTTTTGGATTAACTAACATTTCACTGCTATCGAATGCTGAAAGAAGCAAAGGGGACTGGACCCCGGCAGGCAAGAAATGCAATCTCTGCATGAGGCTACTTGCCAAAGCAATACAATTGCACGTGCTACAGGAAACACGCTGGCCACAGCTCAGCTGCCTGGAAACAACCCACCTCTTCTCGTCTAAGAACAAGCTTTCAGACATCCTGAGAAACAGAGGATGCCCATCAGCTTAAAAGCATTCTTAAACACCAAGATTAAGGTCGGCTCTGGAACCAGAGTAGCAATGCAAGCGTTGTAGAGCTACTAAAAATACAAATTGTCAGGCTGGGATATATGGTATCTACAAATCACAGCTCATTAGTTCAAAGTCATCAGCGTGCCTTTCACAGAAAACTTGCCAAGGTCCTTGGGAGCAGCTGCCTAAATTTTCAGAGGTAGGTATAAGACAGCACTACGTATGGAATAGTTGTATTAACCCTGGTAAACATTTACAGTAGCCAGTCTCCATAATCAAAGGAAGCTGAAGCAGTTAAAACATCACTAGAAAGCTCACTTGTGGCCATGCTACCCAGGCAGAGAAACAAAAAATACACATACAGCTAAAACTGCTGCTTGCCCACTCGGAACCTCAGGCGTGCTTTGCTTTGCTTTGAACAAAGCCCTCCATGCCTCACCACTGAAGACAGTTTGCCAGAAATCACAAAGAGGGAGGGTGGCAAACAGCAAGAAGAGCTGGCCTTTTGCATTCTCCCATATCATCCCAGCACCTACAGCTCCACTACTGACAGCTAGCACCAACCACGCTGCTCGCTTATTCCCCCAACGGGTAAGAACTGTACATTGTGACTTACGCGAGAGGCCCGTGGTGGTAGACGACGTCGGTGCTGACGAACTGGCCACAGACGCAAACAACGTAGGCCCCGTTGAACCAAGAATGGAGGTTGTGGTGGTAGAGGCTGTTGTAGCAGCTGTGGATGTCACTACAAACAGAAGCAGCGCAGGTCTCAAACAACCGTGCTGAGAATGCGATACACATTTGCCTGTCTACACCAGTTCTTGATGGATGGAAGAATTTTAAACTCTTTTTCCTCTTAGTCTACCTCAACTCTCTCTCTTTTCAATGTACCCTTGAAACCTGCGGCTCCCTTCCACTACGCTCCAGCAAGAAGTACAGAACACAATTTGGCACGTGGGACACAATAAAAAAAAAAAATACAGGATACTAAGTTCCATGGCTGTATGAACCGTCACAGATTACTGATGCCATTGCGTATTCATAGAATCATAGAAGGCTTTGGGATGGAAGGGACCTTTAAAGGTCATCCAGTCCAACACCCTTGCAATGGGCAGGGACATCTTCAACTACATCAGGTTGCTCAGAGCTCCGTCCAGCCTGGCCTTGAATGTTTCCAAGGATGGGGCATCTACCACCTCCCTGGTCAAACCGTTCCAGTGCTTCACCACCCTCATCGTGAAAATTTTTTTCCTTGTGTTTAGTCTAAATCTACCCTCCTTTAGTTTAAAACCATCCCCCCGTGTCCTGTCGCAGCAGCCCTGCCTAAAAAGACTATCCCCATCTTTCTTGTAGGCCCCCTTTAAATACTGAAAAGCTGCAATAAGGTCTCCCCGCAGCCTTCTCTTCTCCAGGCTGAACAACCCCAGCTCTTTCAGCCCTTCCTCACAGGAGAGGTGTTCCAGCCCTCTGATCATTTTTTTGGCCCTAAAATTCACAGTAACAAACACTTCTAGCCCATTTCCAGGCTCCAGTTCAGAAAACCTTTCCCAGGACAGCAGATTCACAAAGTCTTGAGTAAGTCTTTCCTAAAAATCACTTCCAACCTCCAAGTTTGGTTCCAAAGGACAGAGCGGGTCCCTGGCTGGTACTAGTGGTCAGCGTTGCCGTGGGTGCGCTCGTGGCTGCTGTTGAAGGCAACGACCCGAAGCTTAGACCTGGAACAAGTAGCACAAGGAAGAGGAAAAGGAGAACCTTTTACTACAGACGCACTGCAGTTTCCGCCGACCACAGCAACGGTCAAGGCAGAAGCAATAAGAGCATAAGAAAAAACATTAAGACTCAATGGAACAAATACTCTGCGTTATCCAGGGAATGGACTAGGGCCAACAAGCTCATTACGTAAAAAGACTTTCAAGAATCGTTCTAACACAGATGAACGCCACCCTCGCCCCAGAACTGATGACCTTCCCTCCGAGGCCTGCGCTGTCACCAACAAGTAAATCAAAAGCTGCAAACTCAACTTTTGCTGCATTCCGCAGGAGTGGGCAGGTTCCTGCCGCTGGGAAGGTAAGCGGTGGCTTATCACAAAAGTCAGCCAGACCAACGCGCTGTCCTGAGAAACTTCCCCAGATGCAGGCTTTGCTTGGCCAGACTGGCCTAGGCAAGAGACAAACTCACTAGCTCATTTAAACACATCTTCAAACTCTGCCAATTACTGTCACGGGAAGAAACAAATGGATTCCGGCGCACCCGCCGGGATCCTAACGGATGGGGTTTTCTGGCCGTATTACCTGCTGGCCTCAGGAAAACAAATGATCAGTAACACGTGAGGTTGCAGGCCTCTACTTCCCACAAAAACAGTGTGCCGAAGGATAAACAGCAGTCGTTACTCGTCACCGAAGACCCTGCATAAGCTTATCAGAAAACCCACCGATTCCAGCCACTCGCTTCATGTCACACCAGCAGAAGCAGGAGGCCGCAGAACCTGCCCACACCAGCCCCAGTTGCCCTCCCTGCTGACCACAGCTGCCGTTCCAAGCCCAGGCCCTCACCTGCGGGCTGACCCCCAAGGCTGAAGGGGGCTGTTGACTGCGTCGCAGCTCCTAAGGTGGCAGCAGTGGTGGCAGCAGCTGCAGGTGCTGCTCCAAACGTCAACCCCGTGGGCGCTGCTTGCGGAGCTGCGGTGCCGATGTTGAAGCTGGCTGTTCCTGCCTGAGTTGTGGTACCACTGGAAAAAGTAAACCCTCCAGTTGTCCCAGACTGAGCGGCCGCGGCGGTGGTGGTGGTGGTGGTGCCAGTAGATCCAAACACAAAGCCAGAAGGGGCTGCTGCTTGACTTGAGGGCACGCTGGTTGGAACAGAGCTACTGAATCCAAAGCCCCCCGAGATTCCAGTAGCCTGAGTTGCAGTGCTGCCTCCAAAGTTTAATTTTGGTGCATTTGCCCTAGGGAAGCAAAGACAAGACGCCAATCTGTTTGAGACGTACATCCACTCAAGTACTGAGTCGGCTTTCTCACAGATCATTTGCTGACAGCTGCCTGTCAAAAAGATGGGCACTCAACCAGGTTCACGTTTCAGTTCTGACAAAGACGCAGCTCCCGTCACCTGCCCTCCCGTTAAGCCTCTTCATACTGACTCCCCCTTAACGGCCTCCGCCCATCCAGGCGCCAGAAGGCGTTTATGGCAGTGCGAGTGACGCTGCTTACTCTCTCAGCTCCCAGCACCCTTTTCACCTCCTCTACATAAGACTGTTTTTTTCAGCTAACTTTCACCGCTAGTCCCCATTTCAGCTCCCTTCCCACTGCTCCCATCTGGCAAGCTTCGACAACGGCAGCCCTGAAGAGCCACCTCAAAGCTCACAGCCTTCCCTAGGGACAGAGCGGTCCCACCTGCCTCCAGAAACGCTCGCAGCGCTCCAGAGTCGGATCAGAAAGGACAAGACCTTTCACGCTCGGACGCCAAGTTGTACCACTTCTTCACACAAGCGTCTCTACCCCAGCTGCAGGCCGAAGCGCGGGACGGCTCATTCTTAACGCCCACCTGGAAAAGCCAGCGCTGACCGACAGCAGCCCTCACCGAGCGCTTTTCCGAACGCGCCCTAGTGCGGCGGGAACTCTGAGGCGCCAGAGCAACAGCTGTGCTCCCTCGAGAGCCACCTGCAAAGCGCCCCCGAAGCAGCGAGGGGGACATCGCCCACTCGTCCTCCCCAGCGGCCAGGGCCGCCCGGCCAAGTCCCCGCCCCGGGCCTCTCACCCCAGCGGGAACACGTTTGCTGCCGGGGCCGCGGTGGCCGTGGCCGGCGTCCCGAAGCTGAAGCTGGCAGGCTGCGCGGCAGTGCCCGGCGTGCTGAAGGAGAAGAGCCCGGCGGGCTGGCTGCTGGCAGGCGTCTGGGCCGCGCCCCCGAAGCTGAAGCCCCCCGAGGCGGCAGGCGCGGAGAAGGAGAAGCCGGTCGCGGCCGTCGTGGAGGCCGGCTTTTGCGCGCCCCACGGGGAGCCGCCCCCCC